CATCCTTAAACACCTTTCTTCTTTACTGACTTTCCTATTTCCTATAACCCATTACTTTTATTTGGCTGACTTTATCATTTTGATAGATCACATTCATCAAAATGAAGCAATCCTTAAAATTTTTATATGAAAAAGTGCAGGGTAGGCAGGTTATTTTTGAGAAATCACACATCTTAGCATTTTAATTTTAGCCATGTATGGTGGGGCATGTCTGTAATTCCAGCACTTGGGAGGATTGGTACAAGTTGAAGATCAGTCAAGGCTAGATGCTAAGACTGATTTCTAAAAACCAAAACCAAAACCAAAACATTTAAATTTTATTCTTATCATTTTAATGAACTTAGAATTCTAAGATTAAAATTTTCTCTCTCTAAAATTTGAAAGATGATGTTTTGATTTTCATTTGGTTTTAAATGCTACCAATAAAATATAAAGCTAACCAATTTATCTTTGTTTATGTTAGGATTGCTTCCCACCCCCAACCCCCAATCTGGAAACCTGAAAGATTAATCTGCTTGGTCTCATCAATTTGAAATTTCACTACAATGTGCTTTAGTTTATCTTTATTTTCAACATGAGTCTTTTCAATCAGGAAACTTGTTTCTTTAGTACAAGAATTCTTTTGAGTCATATTGTCAATGGTTTCCTCTTTACTTTGTCTTTTCATATGAGACCTATTATTTGAATACTGAAATTCCTGGACTGATCTTATAATTTCTCCACACTTTCTACTTCTTTTTTTTCCTCCTCCTCCTCCCCCTCCCCCTCCTCCTTCCCCTCCTCCTTCTTCTTCTTTTAATCATTTGAGTCCTTTTATTCTACTTTTTCAGAGATTCTCTCCACATTAATTTCCAACATTTTTATGGAGCTTTGATTTCTGACATCTGTCTAAGAACCATTTAAAAAAAGATATAACATCACTCTTTTGTAGTACCTCCTTGCTTTAAGGCCACATTATTTTCTCTTATTTCTAAGCCAGGTGTGTTAGCACATCTATAACCCCAGCACTGGGGAGGCTGAGGCTAGAAGATCAAGAGTCCTAGGCCAGCAGTGAGACTCTGTCTCAAAAACAAAAATAATTGTTCTATTATTTTCCTCTGTAAAATCTGTTATCACCAAATTACTTTATTCTCTTTAATGTACAATGTTTCTTCAAATACTGAGTAAGCCTTGGTACGCTGCTCATATGTAAAGGAGGACAAGAAAGCTGAATGGGAGTAGGTATACCTGCAGCAATCTTAGCTGGGCTGTTAAAGGACTCTCTGGTGACTCCATTTGTGTATCTTCCTTTTTAATTAAGATTCCTCAGAAAAGGCTTTTCTAATTTCTTGCCTAACGGTCTAACCACCAGCACTCTCAGAGCCCACAGGGATGAACTATCTGGGGTCCAATCCTTCTATTTTAAGTACAAGTCTCCTTCCCTCAGCTGTGCTTTGTGTCTTTCAGTCTGGGGCATCTATAAAGAATAAAATTTAAGCATTGCCAGAGTCATAAGGGAGAAATTTGGGTATCTCCACAGGCTGGCTGATTAGTTAAGTTTCAATAGGACATTCCAGAAACCCAATGCTTTTCCAACTGACTTTAAACCAAATCTGCTCTCACCCCAACTGCACACACTGTTCTTGAGCTTTCTGAGGCCTCCAGAGGGTGAACCATGTTGCTTTGTTGATTTCCACTGCTACAGAGCTTACAGCTCAGTTTTGAATTTTCCAGTACCAACAATTATATGTAGATTATCTGATTTCTAATCCCCTTTTGCTGATCTTTAGTGGGTTTCTAGAATGAGCAAAAGTAGAAGGGTGGCTACACCCATCTCTTACTTCTGATAGTATTTTTTATTCATTTCAACTCATTATAAATAGAATTTCCACTTTTTTTGAATGAATGTATTTGAAAGAAAATCTCTAAGAAAGTAAGAGCCTCTGTTTCACCATTAACTACTATTGATAATAATTCAATTATACAAAATTGATAATGTCAATCAGTTGATATTGAGGATCAGATAGTTATGGTCTAGATCCTGAGAATGTTTGTTTGAAGTTCATCTAGTAATTCAGTAAATGCAAGTTAAAACCACTTTAAGATTTCATCTTACCCCAGTCAGACTGGCTAAGATCAAGAGAAGAAATGATAGCAAATGTTAGAGAGGATGTGGGGAAAGAGGGACACTCACCCACTGCTGGTAGGACTGCAAACTTGTACAACTCCTATGGAAAGTATTATGGAGAACTCTTAAAAAACTACAAATGAACCTACCATTTGATACCACTCCTTGGCATATACCCAAAGAACTCATCCTATTGCAGAGACACTTGTACATCCATGTTTGCTGTTGCACTTTTCACAATAGCTAAGAGATGGAAGCAACCTAAGTGTCCCTCAATGGACGTGGATAACGAAAATGTGGTTCATTTATATAATGGAGCAGTAAAGATGAAATCATGAACTTTGCAGGTAAATGGGTGGAACTAGAAACTGTTATACTAAGCGAAGTAACCCAGACTCAGAAAAACAAATGATGTATACAGACATAACCACAGGATAATGGAAAGGAACCAGGAAGGTAAAGAACTTGAAAGAGAAGAACAGTAGGAAACAGGTGTTACTAAGGGATATATGGATAAAAATGGGGTTATTTTAAGGGGAAGGGGAGGAGGCTTATACAAGGAACCTAGGGGATAAAGGGAAAGAAGGCGCTCAAGAGGTGGGACCATAGAAGGTTATTATTAAAGGAGAAATGAGAAAAATGGGGCATTTTAAATGGGGAAACCATGGTGGAAGGGTTAGACAATGAGAGAGATAAATAACTCCTAGCTAGTTAAAAAAAAAAAAACAGAGGGAACCATATTAGTCCAACAATCTACTGACAAATTGTACATACAACTAGCTTCAGGACCAAAATATATGTCTAGTCAAGGTTTATATAAAAATGTTTGGTTTTTGCTCAAGCTTTATCTACATAGCATATGGTCATTAAAAGTACCAGAATGGTGGAACTAACCTTCTTGGATGTTTAACAGCCATACTTTGAGGCCTATACTAATCTGCTCAGAGGGAATTAAAGGACAGTTTTTGCTCCTTGCCCTCCAAGGTCCACTAAGTTCCAGAGGACTATGGAGCATCTCTCAAAATATCCTGTAACTGTGGTGAGTCACCTGTCCTCTTGATCAAGGAGGCCATGGAGATCCCACCAGATGGACTTGAAACTGTCCAGTCTATAAAGAGGAGGGTCAACACAGAGAAAACATTTCCTCCATGCTTCCAAGTGAAGCCAGCTATGGTTGAGCAGAACCTTTGACTTATCTTCACATATCACCAGTGGGGGAGGGGAAAGGCAATGGGAGGGTGCCATTTGGGATATGGGTATAAAGATGAATGAGATTGTTTGGGATGTTCTGTATGAAACACACACACACACACACAAAATCAATCAATTAAAAAATGAGATATTTGAGGAAGAAGCATAAAAAATTGATTCATGTTAATTAGTGGATATGAAAAACATTATCATTGAAATCTACTTGATGACTTTATATCCATGCTCAGGTGGCAATGATCTCGGAAAGTATTGACTGTGACTAGTAATAATCAGATATACAGAGATTAAAGACCATGTGCAAACATCTAAGTGTTAGTTGTATTTAAAATGAGTTTTTCTGTATCAAACAGTATTATTTTAAAATGAAATGGAGATCTTTTTTAAACATTAAAACCTAATTCAATTTTATGTCTTATAGGGTTTATACTGAGTACAATAATGTATAACTGTATTAATTGAACACTGTGAACCTAAAATTTACAGCCAATTTTGAAAGAGATGCATCTTTGCTCTGGAAACTGATACAATGTCAATGCTGTTGTAATGAAATGCTTCTATTAATTATGTGGTTATTAAATAAATTTTAAAAATAAAAAATAAGAAACTTCCAAAATAATCATTATTTTTCTGAAACACAATTTTATAAAAACAGTACAGCTCTAAAATCTAGAAGAGCAAACTTGGAGTTAAAAAAAACGATACAGAATTATGGAGTAAATGGCCCTTGAGTTTTACAGGATGAAAACACCATACCATACTTCTATCAGCTGTGTTCTCAATTCTCACAGAGATCAATTCACCACTAAATGACATTTATTCACTACTGTATTTCAGACGTTTATTCTTGGCACTGAACATACAGCATTACCCGAAATAATAAAAAGTTTGTGCTGTTATGGAACGTTCATTCTATTCTAAATGGAGATTATAAAAAGAAGAAATACCAAAAAAAGTACTATGAAAAAAAGGAAGTATAAGGGAGGAAGATGGTCATGCAATTTTGATGAGTTGGGAAAGGCCCGTCAGAAATTTCAGTTGTATGACATGTTTCAACATCTTCACTTCAAAAAATTTATCAAAACCATAAAAACAAATTTTAAATAGAAAAGGCAAATAGGTAGAAATATTCTAAAATAATACAGGAATTTTACCATTTATTCTGAGATAGCCGAAGCTACAAATACTATATTGGTGATAAATTTAAAAGCCAGTACATGGGGGTTGGGGATGCATCTCAGTTCGTGGGGTGCTTGATTAGCAATCATGAAGGCCTGGGAACACTCCCCAGCAGGGATGGAGTGGTGCACAACTGTCATCTTAATCTTAATACTTAGGAGGAAGCAGCAGGAGAATCAGAAGTTCAAGGTCATCTTCAGTTACATAGTTTGAGGTCAACTTGAAGGGGGAGTAGGGGGGAAAGAGAGAGAAAAACAAACTGGTACCTGACTATATTATAACAAATAATAGTGTTGAAATTTTAATGTTACTTTCCAAAAGTGGTAGCTAGGTATTTAGAAAAGATTTAAACCTTAATATCATCTTAAAAATTACATGAGGGCACACTTGATTACATCATTTAAATCCTAAGTGAGAAATGGCAATCTCTAAACAAGACCCAGCAAAACTCCAATCCCCAAATTGAGAGCTAAAAGGAATGACTAATGTTAAAAAATTTTTTTACCTTGCCCAGAGCGGCTTTGGCGAGAATCTACACTTGACTGTCTTCGATCCGGTGGTTCCTCGCTTCCTCCATCTGCATAAAATGAAAAATGGCATTGACAGATAATGAGTTTGATATAATATCTACTCTGATGACATCTGTATCACAAACCTGTGCTTATCACCTGTTTTCATTTATTATAATCTGGATCATTAAAGTATTTGAGGATTTTCCCTATGTAAATCATTGGTTTTATTCTTGTAGGGATAATTACACCCACATCCACATCCCAAACCTATGGAGATCCAGGTGATTTCCCCCTCCACCATACACACACACTTTTATTTCACATGTAATAAAAGAATGCTAACAATTTCAAAGTTCCTTCACTCTGACCTAAAGTAGTATCTATATGATAGACAGCTGCTTGAGTAAATTTAAGTAAATAAAATCATATATATGAACTTTCATATATATTTATAATCACATGCATCAGAAGAGTTAGCTAGTAGGTACCATGGGAATAACACCAATTGAGTCCATAAATATAGCCATGGTGAAAACAGAAAATGACTTGACAGAAAAATTTCACATGAGTCCCTTATGACCTCAGCAACTTACTAAAACGTCCCATTAAGTTCATCAGATTTGTAAATAATTCAGCAAATTGAAAGATACTTCAAGTGATAGGCAGATATATTTTTTGTTGTAGTATACAAATATTTTTAAAATACAACCCAGTTCAAATATTACTTTGGTTTTATCTTATTATGTAAGTTATATCTGAAATACCAGATAAACATGTAGAGAAAACACAATGCTACTTGAAATAACAAAGGCAAGAATTTTTTTCTTTGACACAATGAGACAAAGAAATTGAAGCAAAATTGCCTCTAAGCAGTAGCATCTCAGAATGAGTTATCTGCTTGGTTGAAATTAAACTCTAATTCTTCATAGTGCTGGAAGCTGTGATGCAGGCAGCATGGGGATAGAAGCCAGCAATGGTATTCCCCAGCTTTAGACCTTGCACACTACAATACCAACTTGTGGGACAAGAAGTACTTCCTGTTGCTGAAGTGGCACAGCTGTTATAGGGGTAACCAACTGATTACCCCTATAACCCCTGTTGCTTGCATTGTTACAGCAGGAGTATTTTTAGTGGCTTAGTCCATGGAAACAGAGCATTCTATATAGTCTGTCATTACATTAGCTTATGTTTACTGTAGTTTTCTTTAAATTGCCCTTGTAGGGAGTAGGGAATGCGTACTTTCTTTCAAGAGGGAATATAGCGCATTGGAAAGTCAAGTGTAAACCACCTCGGGAAATGATTGTAGCCAAAGGTATGAAATTACACCCACTTCACTAATTACTGCTAATCTCATTTTATTTTTAGCTTCTAAGTCAACGCCCTGAAAACTCACTTCTCCTAAATGACCTAGATAAAATGATTTTATAGTCCCAGTAAAAGTAACCTAATACCATGATGAAGAGGAGGTAACCTGCCGCTGGAGGAGGGACTTTTAATCAGAATTCTCACTCATAGCCCATCACTTCCTCTGCATGCATGGAAAAGATGTCGTATGGAAATCTACAGAATGGATATGTGGAGTTCATAGACCAGTCCCCTAGATCTGTCAAAGGCAGTAGCCTGAACCTGGACAGAAAGACTTAATGTCAAGAAAGGCAGAGTTCCACCAACCCCAGGAGCCTGGGACTTGAAGTCTGCTCTATAAGACTACTCTGAGTTAGGCATTTAGGATCTTGAAACTCGCTTTTAACATGCCTATAGCCTGGAAGCTCTAGATCTTTGCAAGATTCTTGCCAAGGAAAATAATTTCTTGGAAACTTTGATAATGAAATCAACCCGATACACCTTCTTCTCTTCTTTTTACGCATTATGTTTAAGTTATATCTCTCCAACTATCTTACAAGCTCTAGGTAGAGCATTCTGGTAGTCTCTTTCGAATGTCATCATCTGTAGATATAAAATGTCAAAATGGCTTCCTCTGCCCGACAGCACCCACCCAGGCACGCCCAGCACAGCTCCTCCTTCCTCTGCACCTGTCTCCCTCTCATCGCTTCCCCACGACTTCCTTGTGCTTTTATCTAAAATCCAACCAGAGCAGAAGACACACCCTACTTTCAGTTCTCCAAATTCCTTCCCTGTTCCAAGAACATTTCTTATTATGGATCTTTGTTGATTTCCTTCAAAATATAAACATGTAAAATGTGAACAACTCCCTCAAGTTTCTCTTGCCCCCAAGCCCATAATCTCCAAAGTGTTTGGTGCTGTTTGAGTTCTGATGGTAACATAGGAAGCCTTGTACATGGTACTGGTAGACTTTACTTTAACTCCGTATGTATGTGTGTGCATATGTGTGACTCTGGGTGTATGTGAATCGCTGCATGTGTGTGTACACACGTGAATCTATGCATGTGTGTATGTATAAGAATCTTTGTGTGTGAATCTACACATGTGGGTGTGAATCTATACATGTGGGTGTGAATCTGTACATGTGTGTATGTGTGTGTGAATCTGTGTGTATGTGAATCTGTACGTGAGTCTGCCTCTGTGTGGATCTGTGTGTGAATCTGTGTGTGTGTGTGTGAATGAATCTGCCTGTGTATGAATATGCTTGTGTATGAATCTATGTGTGCGTGAATCTGCCTATGTGTGAATCTGCCTGTGTGTGTAATATTCCACTGAAGAACATTTGACCACAAAGAAAACAAGGTTCTCATCTTCAAGAGCTGGGAAGCACTGAGGTGATTAAAGTTTACATGGAAGATCTTTCCAGACTCAGACCATGGGGAAAGGGAGTAGACTGAGCAGAGAATGAAAAGCCAAAGTGAAGAGAGCTTTTAGAAATTGGGGGCTAGGGCATCACCCCTTGGCTGTCTAGCTGAAAGTCCCCTTGTAAAGACTACTCTAGACATCTCCCGGCAAAATGGATACACAGGGCTCAGTGATCACACTACCCTAAACCTAAGTACTTGCCAAAGAAGAACTAAGCAAAAACCAAAACCCAAAACAACAAAGTCCATGTCTTTAAAAAACCGAGATCTGAAACAAAATATTGTGATTTCCAGATATATGAGGGAAGAGGAAAATTGGATTCTTTTAATCTTTTTTCTTTGAAACAAGCTCTTTCTGTAGCCCCAGATGGCTCAGAAATTCCTATATAGATCAGGCTGGCCTGGATCTGACACCTGCTCTGTAAGAGGGAGCTCATGTCCTATAAATGGATCTAGTAAAGGCCCATGGCTGGGGAGGTCATAGGCACTAGGTAGAGTAAATTTACTAAATGCTGTTTTGCTAAATAAACATGATGTCAAAGTACTTAAATATTCATATTTATACCCATACACTAGTGCTGTCCTCGACCTTGATCAACGAAGCTTCTCTTTAGAGCAAACAGTGGTTAATGAAGAAAGAGAATCATGGCTGGTCAAAGCGGTTAAGAGTTAAGTGGTTGTTACATGCTCAGCACTAAACAGAACACCCATATCACCCTCCCGAAAGCCTAGGGAACATTGTTGAAAGAGGGCAGAGAAAGAACTTAGGTGCTAAACAATAGGGGATCTTATGGGCATGACATGCCAAGGCACTGATGAACTAACAGCTGGTATTGCCTACATAAGGTGTGCACAAGACTAGCCAGTAAACATTCAGTCATTGGTGGGGGAGGGGCTCATAGGGCACCACCTTGCCCAAGGGGGCTGAACTCAGTCAAGGGCTGCTAGAAGAGAGAAAGTCACTGTCTTCAGTGATGTGGTCACTAGTAAGTTACTCATGTTACAGAGAATAGCCTCACACCCATGCCCACACAGGTGACTAGGTTAAACCCAGTGGATCACAAAACAAAACAAAGAGAAGGATGGAGATTTGATGAGAAGGTGAGGTATTGGTGGGGGTGGAAGCAGGATAAGAGAGGGTGGAGGGATGACTATGACCAGAATATATTATATACATGTATGAAATTATCAAAAAATTAGTTAACATATAAAGAGCTAAAAAGTCAAATTATTTTTTAAGGAAACATATGTTTATAATCCTCTTAACTGCACTTCACATTCCAAATAAACAATTCTATGGATATCTTTTATAAAGCTCAATATTGTAACTGGGTCAAATCAAGCTTAATTTGTTTTTGGTCTTCTTTTCAACTGTCTAGGAATTCTCCCACCTCACACTCTCATGAATTAATATCCATTATCCCCCAAAACACTAAAGATTTTTATTTTAATTTGTATCTGTCACATTAATAATGAAGCTGGGGTTGGGGAGATGGCAAAGAGGATAAAGTCTGCTGCACAAGAATGAGGACCTGAGTAACATCCCAGAAACCACATAAAATCTGGGTGTGGCAGCACATGTCTATAACTCCAGTGCTAAGGCAGCAGAGACAGGCAGATCCCAAGGGTTTACTAGGGCTGGCCAGCCGGCTGAAACAACGAGTTTCTAGTTCAGTAAGATGAAGCAATTAGGGAAGACATCCCTATTATCAGCCTCTGTTATGTCGATTCATCTGCAAGGATGAGTAAACACGCACAAACACACAGAAGCACATGCATATACCCTTGAAAAAAGAAAAAGTTTTGAGTTAAGGAACGCAACTACCGAACTCAAAATTTCCACAGAGAATGACAACACTACATTCAGTCAAAGATAAGAAAAAAAAATCAGTGCCTTCAGGTCATGGAATAAACAAAAAGCAAGGGGAAAAGGGGTTGAAGAAACCCTACAGAAATGAAGGAATATTACAAAACAGACCAATGTATGCATAAGGAGTATTCTAGAACAAGCAGAGAAAGGAGCAGAGGCCCATTTAAATATAATAATAGAGAAATTCCATAAGCTGGAGAAATGAGCATTCAGATCCTTGAAGCCAAAAGAGCATTTGCCAAGATGCCTTATAATTATTTTCTCAGATGTCAAAGACAAAGAACTTTTTGCATTTTGCTGCTGTCTTGATTACAGACAGGTATGAGCTACCCTGCTCCACCAGCTCCCACACAATGAAAAGTTCTAATAGTTCATCACCACTAGAACTATCTTGTAGAAATGCAAAGAGAAGAAAGTCAAGTTGAAA